TTTGAGGAAAGAGCACATCTCAAGATGGCGTGAGCACAGAAAGCGTGGAAGAGGGAACAGAGGCCAAGCTGCCAGTGAGACAGGTAGCAGCTGCTTCGTAGAGCCCAGCAATGCAGGGAGGAATTGCGTCCCCTGAGTGGCTCTGGGAACTCTTCCAGGCGCTACCTGCATCCTGGCCAACCGTGTGTCTTCTCTGACCCCGTTCCCTACATAGAAAGCAGTGCAGCCTGCTCTACAGAGAGAGATCTGGGCGACGGCTGGTGAGGCACGTGCCCTGGGCACCAGTTAGGTGGGGAGTGCCAACGAGCAGCTTCTATCCACCATCCTAGAGGCCACCCTGGCTGTGAGAAACCTTTCTAAAACTAATTGCCGTGTGTCCCAGAGACAGTGCTCTCCAGCTCTCTCTGCCTTTTTGGGGGGGATGGACTCCTGTCTTTTCCCCAAGGTCTTGGTGCTTTTCTCTTTTCTCCAGTGTAGCAGCGCCTCCTGCCTGAGCCAGACAAATAGAGCCCCTCTTGCTTCTCCCTCAGTCAGAAAATGCACTCACTGTTGTCAGCCAGGAACTGGCTCAGAGCAGATCCTCCATTGGTTTATGAAGGGTGTAAATCACACAGGAGGAAATGACCATCTTTCTCACAAGCAGCCACTAATGGATTTGAACTACCAGAGAGGCACAAAAGAACAGATAGTTCTTGAAGGGGGTGCAGCCAGGGTGCTCTTTGGAGGCAAGGATGATGAATCTTTGCCTCACATACTTTGCACATGTTGCTAGGAGGGGCTCTTCCCTGGAGAGAGGACATGATGCTGGGAAGGGTGGAGGGTCAGCGAAGGAGAGGAAGACCCTCAATCAGGTGGATTGAAACAGTAATGGTTGCAGTGGGCTCTTGTGTGTCAGGAAGTGTGAGGATGGCACAGGATAAAACAGGGTTCGGACCCGCTGTTCATAGGGTCGCTATGAGTCACACTCGACTCAACGGCACCTAACAACAACAACCAGAGAGGCATCGCCTTCGGGTTAGCAATGCAGCTCCCTACAGACTGTGCCACCAGCGCTCCTTCACTGGCCCACAAGCTGCGTTTATTAACAAGGTCTTTTCTCTTCCCAGGCTCCTCTGCTTTCCCAGTCATCCTGTGATCTTGCACAGCAGTTACTGCCCCAGACCATTTTGCAGAGTCCACCTGCCCCCATGGCCCAGGTGAGTCTGGGCCTCGGGGAGGGGGGGAGCCTAGTGGTGGCCCCTCCGCAGGACCCATGCATGTCACCCTTTTGAGCTTGTGTGTGCATCAGTGCTGATGGGTGCTCATGCTCACAGAACCCCAGATCCGGGCTGCTTCCCCCAAAGTACAGGGTGTGTGGGGCACCATCAGCTTCCAAACTCCTGCACTCCTTGACTCTTCCAGATAAATTCTCCACATTCTTCTCTCCAGTGTCTCTTCTTCAATCTTTCTGCTAATTTCTCTTCATCACACCATCATGCATTTTTGTTCTTCTGCTTGTTAGCCATGATCGTTTAGAAATTTATTGGATCAGGCCGAACATCATTAGAGAACTCTAAAGGGCTCTCAAAACTGTGAACTTATTACTATAAACATTATATTTGTTTAAAAAGAATCTCACCTCTGCTCAGTAGATTATTTTGCCATCATTCCGTAAGTTCCCATTTAGGACTGCTAGGTGTTAGGGGTGCAAAGATGATGGAACACATCACATGCCTTTTAGGATTCTGAGTTCCAGAGAGACAAGTATAGAAACAGAGATGGGGCCTATCGCAGGGCTTGTTTCTTTATAGATCCATTAAGGAAAATAATCCTGCCTGTGGAAGTCAAGTGTCGCTTAGCAGAGATGGCACCAAGCTGGGCCTCAGAAAGATGGGTAGGAGGGTGCTAGATGGAGAAATGGGAGGAAGAATGGGGAGAGGGAATGCAAGTATGTCTCCATCAGGGAGTTAAAACCTCCCAAGTTGAAGCCATGCAGTTAGATGAGACAGAGACTGCTGTTTGTGACCAAGTTGATTGGAGTACATATGCTGATGGGCCCACAACCAGGATTTCAAGTCCTGGTTGAGATACTGAAGGATCTTTGGTGGCATAAATGGTTAAGCACTTGGTGCTGACAAAAAAAGTCGGTGGTTCAATCCCACCACCATCGCCACAGGAGAAAAGACTTGATGATTAAAAATTATAGCCTACACCACCTCACAGGGACAGTCTGTTCTGCTCTGTAATGCCACGCTAAGTTGGAATTTACTCAGTGCACAACACGAGATCTTCAACTTTGTCTCAACCCCTAGCCATAAGCTAAACATCAGTCCCAGGGAGCAGTGTGCCCATGAGTGCTACTGACCAAAATGTGAACTTTTGGGTCTTAGAGCAAATCTGTCACCACGGATAAAAATTATTTAAGAACCTCTGAAATAGCAGGCCTCTGAAAACCCTATGCACAACAGAACACACGCAGATTAACAAAAAGGCCAACCTAGGTAGAACCATCAAGTATGGAAACACAAGGGAGGAGGAACAGCTGTAAGCAGACCCTAGTGATTGGTACATGGAATGTGAGAGCCAT